TCAAATTTATCTTATAACTATTTTTATGTAATGTCACTCATAATGTAGATTTGTATTACATTTATATGTATTTAAACAGATGTAATTTAATATAGAATAACAAGTATCTAAATAATAACTTTAAAAGTAATAAAAGCATAAAAGTTAATTAATATTTCTAAATAATCTTTTACTTATTGTTATCTTTGATTTATTATTTATTTAACTTTGACTTACCCAACTAATGGAAGTCATCTTTTGTATTTTAATAAATCATTTGCACTTTTGAATCATAAAATACTAATGGAAGTATCAGAATCTATTTCTTTTTAATACTCTCTTCCAACCATCTAGTATTCAACTCTCTCAAGTACACACAGTTACTATTATCGCTCTTATACAATTCTTAATTAATTACTATAGTTAGTTAATACCTTGTCTATCAACATAAGAACAGTAACAGTATTATTAAATATTTAATCAGATTATTATAGAATATCAGTACTATATTATTATAAGATTACCTATATATTAAGTAAATACAAAAGAAAGATATTTATTAGAAGTAATAGTACTCTATTTTATCTTAATAAAATAGAAGAAGCTGTATTATATATTAATCCTAAAGCAATTAGATCAAAATTAGTAAATTAATGAAAAATTACAACAAATATTAGTTGAATACTTACATTATAAGAATATTTATTTGAACTTAGAACTTATAACATTATCATCTTTTGCTAATTTCAAATATTTTTTATTATTTTTTGTATTATTTTATAACTAAACCAATATCTATAAAAAATTTGAAAATAATAAATAACTTTACAAAATATTTAAGAAAACAACAAAATCAAAATTTATTTATTTATTGAAACTTCACTATTAGTATTTTATAATAATAAAAAAATTAACAAAAGTTATTGAATACTATGTATTATTATAATATGAATTTTAATATATTACATAATTTTTTATAGTTTATTTTGATTGAATAATTAATTTTTATATAATTTATAATTTATAAATTATATTCATATTTATTTTATATTATTTACATTTTACTTATATTATTTTATTTCATTTTATACTATTTTATTTTTATTTTATACTATTTTATTTTATTTTTAATATATTTTATTTTATTTTTATATTATTTTATTATATTTTAATTATAATTTATATTAATTATATTTAATTTACATTATTATTATTAGTATAAAAAATATGTGTTAATTAATTTACATAATCTAATTTGATTAATATTAATAGTGAAATTTATATAATATTAGAGTGAACAATATATAATTATTAAGTGAGCAAGTACTTTTTGTAATTATAATATTAATCAAAAATAGTTTTAAACTTTAAAGATTGAATAATAATAACTTATATAAATATATAGTATATTTTAGTTTAGAAAAATAATTTTCTAATTATCTATTAATTTTCTTATATTTTTTTAATCCTTTACTATTTTAATTTTTTTTTGACAAAATCTTCTTAGAAGTAAGTCATATTATAAGTCTTAAGTTAGAGTTTTTCAGTCAAGTATTAATTACCTTTTTCCTTTTTTATTTGTATTCTTTTATTTTTAAAGATCTTTTATCTATAACAAGTAGTATCTTCTATTTAATATAATTAATCTCTTATCATTATACTATGAAATTAGTTAATATTATCTAAAAATCTAATAAAAGAAAAAGATATTCTTATTAAAAGTTAATTAATAAAAGAAGATTATTTATTAATAAATTATTTGAATTAAAAAAAATTTCTGAACTTATTCTAGCAGTTTAACAAAATGAATACTTAGTTATCTACTTTTAGTAAATTAATCTCTTCCAATTTTAATTACTTAAAACATATAAAACTTTTAGTTAAATATAATAACTCTCCTACCTGATTAAAATATGTGATCTATATCTAAAAAATTATAAAATTAATGGAAATGATCACAGTATCAAGTAAATCTTTCAAGTGAGATTGGCTAAAAAATCTAAAAAAATTGTAAACTGAGAAAAGTTAATTAAATAATAAATAATATAATTATATTTTAAAAAAAATTAAATGTTAATTACTAATAAAAATTAATAATCATTTATATTGATCTTTTTTGTAGTTATTAATAACTTGACTTTTGAAACTTGAAATAAAAAGTTAAATAATCTTTAGATGCTCACTAAAAAAAGAATTTGCAAATTCAAAAAAAAAATGAGTGCTGTGATCATAATTAATGAGTTATTTTTATTGACTTTACTAGATTTCTTTTAACTTAAATACTAATCTTTAATATCAGATTTCAAGAAAAATAAATTGTAAGAGTTACATATTGTTTTTTAACAAATTATTTAATTATCTGGCAAGATAATATATGTATTAATGATCTATATTATAAGTATTAAAAATATATTATATATTTGAAAATTATAAAATAATAATAATAATGAATAATAATTATTAATAAAGTAAAAACTAATATTACAAATATATAATATTTATTTATCACCAATATTTTTACTAGATTATAATTAATCACGATTAAAATTTATAAGTTACAATAAATAATAAATAAGTATTATATAATTACAACTTTATCTTTATAATAAAGAATATTTATTTTCTTATAATATAATTTAATTATTTATAATATTATCAAAGTGTATTTTGTAAGTAATCATAAGAAAACCTTTGCAAAGTAAACAAATTTTATTTATATTTGTGCAAGTCAATTCACTATCTGGTTTAGTGATTTCCTGGATTTATTTTCATAGAAATGTAACACAGAATCTTAGAATTGTTACATTGATAATCCGTATAATAAAGGAAATTCTATCTATGGTAACACTGCAATTTGCATGATCTACGTCGGCATTTTGTAATAATATAAATAACCTCTAGAAATTTAGAAATCCGGCATCTTATAATATAGAAAACACGTAAATTCTTTTTGTTGTTGAATCATACTATTATACACTCAATTCATCCTCGTGAAACTGCAATAAATTTTACAAAATGGGTGGTGGAGACTTGGTGAGTCCTTAAATCTTAATCGTACCTTTCTCTTGAAATGTCAAATTACACTTTAATCAACACTTTTCTTTATTCTTTCTTTTATGTATACAGAATATGAAAAAATCATGGCATCCGCTCTTGATTAAGAACCAAGAGCGTGTCTGGAAAGAAGAGCAAAAAGCTGCTGAAGAGCAGAAAAAACTTGAACAACTAAGAAAGGAGAAAGAAGAGGAAAGACAGTTGCAGGAATTAAGGAGGTTGCAGGAAGAGGCTGGCGGAAGGTAATTACTTTTCTTTAGCTCATCTCTTGACATATTATCCTTTACTTTGATCCTTGATTTTCATCTTTAATCATCTCTTTAATAATTTTTCACAACAAAAAAGGAAGGGAATCGAAAGGTTAGAATGGATGTATGCAGCAGGTCCGAATCAATCTAGCTCCGGGCGAGCGCAAGAAATGGAAGAATATTTGCTTGGCAAAAAACGAGTAGATTCTCTTATAACACAGGGAAATACAGTAAGCCAGGTGGGGATATTTTACGATTAATTAATTCGATTCGATTGTACACGATGTTGATTAATCCAATTTCTACGTTATTTTTTTAGCTTTCCAACCAGTCAACCGATATATTTATCAGTGCAATGAATCCAAATGCTAATACATATCGTGACACACAATCAAAAATTCGCGAAGATCCATTATTGGCAATCAAGAAAATGGAACAAGATACCATAAAATCTATTGTAACTAATCCCATAAAAATGAAAGAATTAAAACAGGTATGTCTAAATTTTGCATTTTGATATTTTTGGTTCTCATTTGTTTACATAAATTCATACTATTCAATAGAAATCGAAAAAAGAAAAGAGTGGTAAAAAACATAAGGATAGAAAAGACAAGAACGAAAAAGATAATAGAGATAGAAGTAGGGACCGAACTCCCTTTAGTCTATATGAGAGGCATCGATCTGAAGATCGAAGTCACAATCATTTAGATAGATCACGCAAAAGACATCATGACAGAGAAAGAAGTAAAAGTCCATACAGTAATGATCACCGCAGAAATTCCGGGTCTCTTCCAAGGAAGCGAGAACGACGTGATGAATATAAGTCGTCGGAAAATAATAGATCAGATAATAACACAAGAAGTGGATACCATCACCACGTTGATAGGAGGTATACATCTATCGATCCCATCAGTAGTCTACCGCCAAGACGGCGTGAATATGATTCTTATAAGTCTTCATTAGCTCCTCCGCGAGATGGAGAAAAGTCACAATTGAAATGTGAAGATGAAAATCGTAAAAATGGCAATAATAAAGATCCGGCCGCGCAAAAACGCCTTCAACAAATGATGGATGATGCTAAAAAACTTGCTGATGAGCGTAAAATACGTGTTGCAGAACTTGAACGAGCAGAGAGCGACGAGGAAAAGAGAGTGAAAGAGCATATGGCAAAAATCAAACAAGAAGGTGGACACTCGGAGCATTTAAGGTACTTTTTTTTTTAATTATAATTAACACTATTATTGCTAATACATATAATTATTGTATAATTATCTAATATTTATATTTATCATAGGAAATTATATAAACAAGCAATTTCATCTCCTCAGGCTCTAGATTTAGGCGGACAAGTCAGAAAGTCTCGAAATATGTTGCAAAAAAATATAGGTGATGAATAAATGATTAGGTGACATCCAATATTTATTAAAGCCGTAAATAAACATCAATTCTATCATTATATTTGGTATATATCAAAACATTGTTTGATTATTTTTATTTACTTTGCTAATCGCAGAAAATCTACTTGAATATCTACAGACTTCCTTCTGTGAAACTTGTACATATTTGGTATATCAAACTGTGATTATAAAGTGATTTTAATAAATATTATAAAAATTTGCGAAATAATCAAAACGAGTTAATATTGTTTATACTTTCAATTCGGCCAAAACTTCGCAATCAACTCCCCATTCTTTTGCTTTTTTAAGTATGTGCTATTATTAAAATAAAAAATTGTCGGTAAAAACTAAAAAAGAAAAACTACGAATAATAATAATTCACCTCTCTCGTTGATGTTTTATGTAACGAATAAACAGCATTATTTGCGACCTGGAAATAAAATCTACAGTAAATAAAGCCTCATTAAAAAAAAGATACAACATCGACAACTCACCTCAACAGCCTTTTTCAAAAAAATCATGTCAACTCCTTTATTCTTTGTGCCGAATGGTGGATTCATTACAATCGTATCAATAATATTATCATTCTTTTGCCATTTTGGGTCCAAAGTTAAATCTGTCAATAGGAAATCAACAGAAAGCTCAAACTTTGAACAATTGTCGCTAGCAATTCGGAGTGCATCCGGATCAATGTCTACAGCGATATTATAACTTCGAGAGATGTAAACAGAAAAATTATAAATTAAATGTTTTGAATAATATACAATCCCAAGATTAGGAAGCAAAAAAATCAAACCTTGATCCGAGAATATTTGATGCGATGCTGTTCTTTATTTTATTAGGGGTAAAAATAGTACTTTTTTAATCACCGAATTGAGTAAAATGCGAAATTAACACCTACCTTAATATTCCACAACCACAACCAAAATCTGCCACTATTTTATTTTCAATGTCATCATATACAGAGTGCGCAGTAAATAGAATCCTTGAAGCTAAATGTGGTGTTGTCACGTATTGCTCCAAATGAATTTTTGGTTCATCTTTAATTGATTCACGTCATATATATAAGTGTATAGGCTCGATTATTCCAGAGTAAATTTAATGCAAAAAACATTCATTGGATTTTTTTATTCACCGAAAACAGCAACGTCCTGAAGTAAACCTTCGAGTTCTTTGAGTTTCATTCTTTAAAAAAATTGAATCGATCGTTATCTTGTTTATCTAAATCCACGTTTACATAATCAATGCATTGTTGTAGATAGTCAATAAACGATCAACATTCTTAAAATTTGAATTAATGGAGGCGAAAAGAAAGCGTCGTGGACGAACTTTTCGTGTTAGATGCCACCGAGAGAAAAGTTCTTCGAATTTATTGAGAGGTGAAAGTGAGTTCTCGAAAGCTACATCGAAATTTATTTATTTGATTTGTATACTAAATATTCGATTTCGCATATTAGTAATTACTGACGCGAATTGGAAAGAATTTGTTGTTTGGTTGAAAAGCAATGGTTTTCCTAAAACAAAGTTAACTCTTGGAAATTTTCAAGGTTCTTTCTAAACTTACTTTCATTATAATGTAATAGTTTATTATATTCTGTTTTAATGCGATTCATTCTTAGGGATTGGAAGAGGTTTAATGGCCACCAAAGAGATTAAGGTAAGTTTAATTATTATATGTTTTTGTTAATTGGAGAGTTACTGAACATCTTGTACTACAGGCAGGCGAAGTGATTATATCGGTACCCAAGAAATTCTTGTTAACAAGAGAAATGGTCATCACCGAATTAGATAACATGTTTTTGAAACTTGGGTATAGTCATATAGTTTCTCTTCTTCGATCTGCTCTATAATCTCATAAATTAATTAATTACTACATATTTTAGGATTTTAGATGTTCTTTGAAACATAATAATGACAATATTTCTGCATGTCAAGCAATCGCTTTATATTTGGCTTTACAAAAATATCGACAACAAAAGAGAAAAAATAGTTGTAGTTTTTTTTCGTCATATTTGAAATTATTACCAAAAAATTTTTGTTCTCTTCCATTTTTCTTTGATACTAATCTATTTGAATTGCTACCCAAGGTTATGAAAGGTAACTTAATGTCTTGTTTATTTTTATCAATACGCATCCTTAGATTTTCTAACAACTTAAATTGTTACAGATGATGTTCAAAGACAAAGACAGAAATTCGAATATGACTATAACAATGTCAAGAGTTATCTTAAGGTAGCCAAATTAGATGAAATTTATATCTGAAAAGGAAATTAATGCTAAAAACACCGTATAAAGTTAGTAAATCTTTCACGAACAGAATTTTTGTGGGGCTGGTTTTGTGGTATGACTATAATTTTTTTTAAGTTTATTCTCAGTACCAATTATCCTTTATTTAATTCTGCTTAAATTCAAGTAAATACACGCTGCATCTACCTAAAGACGAATAACTCCAATTGTACACGTGATAACATAGCAGTTGCACCAATGCTAGACTTCTTAAATCATAGTTCTAAGGCAAAGGTACTACTAAAAGTTAATTGGATATTTTTTGTTATAAAGAAATTAAAGGTTTATTTAATAATGTAGTTATTTTTAATTAATCTTAGATCAAGGGTGAATATAATAATTCCTCCAATTGCTATGAAATCACTACATTTACACCATATAAAAAAGGAGAGCAAGTAGGCAAAGAAAGAGAACATTACTTCGTTTTGTTTATTGTATTTTCTTGTATAAAATTCTATTAATTCTAATAAATCAATTAGGCGTTTATAAATTATGGTCCACATGACGATTTTTTCATATTAATCGAATACGGATTTGTGCTTTCAAACAATCCGTATAATTACGTTTCGGTGGACCATGAATTTTCAACGCTGTCAATACCAAACGAGACCATTGCAGCAAAAGAAGAGAAATTCAATTTTTTATTGAGTCAAGGGTTTTTCGGGTAACTTAATAATGAAATTTTCATTACAAGTAACAGTTTTTTCAATAATTGCTCTAAAAGACGTCTACACTTTTAGAGATTATACGTTACGCTTTTCCGAAATTTCATTCCGATTATTAACTGCATTGCGATTTCGAATTCAAAATCAACAGCTTGCTTTTACTTGTGCTGATGATACATCATCAACATTTTCTTCTACAGCAACGCAGCGACAGCATCGACCATATCAGCAGACAATAATAAAGAAATGGAAAAGTCTTGTCAATGGACAGATGGAACATGTTGATTCAGAGAATGAACAATTGGTAAAAGTGTACCTAATGCGGATCTGTGAGTTTGCAATCAAAGAAGCTAAGGATACTTTGAAGATTTTAGTAAGGATCCAGTTTATTTTTTATTATTTCAGTTTGTTATTTCGCCTAATATTTTATTAATTTTTATTTATGTAATATGATTTAAGGAAAAATACGATCCCAACAATTTATCTATTTTGCATGTAAAACAAATCTGGCAAGAGTCTATTGGAATTGTGGAATCTGTAATTATGAATTACGATCAAATAATAAAATGAAATTCTGTATCTGTATCTTTATAGTACGGATATTTCCCAAAAACTCCTCGTTATTTTTGTTTGTAATACTACAGCAGACACATACACATATGTGTATCATAGAAAAACGTGTATACTGCAGATTTCTTTCTTTTTACATCATACGCACGATATGCTATATATAATTTATATTAAATTTTATTCTATTTACATAAGAGATGATTATTTCGGATATGCAGTACTCGGCAGCATTGCGTGGCTCGAATCTACGCAACTTTCTCTCATTCATTATACAAGACATTCTCTCATACACTAGGATCATTGTCTACTTCGGGGGTAATTAATCACATGACCAGAATCGCATAATAATAAAATTGTTTGATAAAGCCATTTTATTATTATTCGGGTCGGTCTGTCGGTCTGTCGGCCTATTCAATCAATTAATCACTATTAGGTATGTCCAGTTAATCGACATTTCTTTACCGCCGTAACACTGCATCTTTTCATCCCCAAAATAATAATAACAGTTCCAGTATATAGACATACACACGAAACACGCAAGCATTTCTCTATTAATAATAAATAAAAATAAACTGCGCACGCGTAATTCAACCAAAAAACCTACTAACGCCAAAATAACGATTATAATATTGAATACGAAAAAGTAAAAAACCTTTATTTTTATTATTATTTCCTTTATACTTAAACTTTATATATTATTATTGTTTTTTTATTTTATTTCTTATTTTATTTATTTATTATTATTATTATTATTATTCATCTTACTCTTCTCATTTGAATACTTCGCTCACTCTATTTGCTGTGCTGTGTGTAAGTAGTTATTATTCTTATTGTTAGGTCATTATTACTATTATCCTTACTACAAATTCTTACTACAAACGAACTTGTTTATTCACATCACTACGTAATAATATATTTGTGTGTTTTTCTTCTCTTGCACTTTACCTTTGTGTGTCTAGTCGTTTTACTTGAGGTTAATTTATATATACAAGTGACCTATATTACTATATATATATATCTATCTATCCAATACATTCTTCATACCAGGTCAGCTGTCTAAAAGCCCTTATATACGTACTCCGCAGAACAGAACAGACAAATATCAGTTTACATATAAACATATATTTTTTGTTGTATTTATTAAGGTTTCTTCTTTTTACTATTAATATTATTGTTATTAAGTACATACAATCACCCCACCTACCGAACAATTGGGTACTCTCTCTTATTCACTAACTCACTCACGCTCACTCACCTCCTATTATTAACAGTCCTCTGTGTCCAATTATAATCCCGTTAGACTCTGATATTAATCTCTCAAGATGGCAATGGATTTGAGAGTGGGGAATAAATATCGAATAGGAAGGAAGATTGGTTCTGGCTCCTTTGGCGACATTTATCTTGGTGAGTGTTTTCGCACATTTACTAAATCTTTTTTGTAGTACGTTCGTTTGTATATTGCTTGTGCGTGGCTTATCAACGAACAACAGCAAAACAATTGTAATCTCAGTTGGTTGGATGGTACAATGATAATAATTTTATTACTATAAATTACGCTGGGAACCTTAAATCTTTAATATTTATCTTTTTTGCTTTTCGAAAAGATAATCTTAAAGCTTTTACTTTCAAGACTGGAATCCACCCTCATTTCTTACTACTTCACATCAAATACTTATCACTGTCAATTAAATGTTTCATATCATTCTCCCATCGAAATAGATTAATTACATCGACTATTAATTAATAAATCATCATACTTTTCATGTACAAACAGGTACTAATATCATTAATGGTGAAGAAGTTGCCATTAAACTTGAATCGACCAAAGCTAAACATCCACAATTAGAATACGAAGCTAAAGTATACAAAACACTTGCCGGTGGTGTGGGCATCCCGTTTGTGCGCTGGTACGGCACAGAATGCGATTACAATGCAATGGTGATTGACCTACTCGGTCCATCATTGGAAGATTTATTCAACTTTTGTAATCGTAAATTTTCATTAAAAACAGTATTGTTATTGGCCGACCAATTGGTAGTTACGCTTTCTGAATTATGTGGCAAATTTTATTCATTCGTTGAATAGTAATAATACTGATCGATGTTCTCTTTTAATCTTCTGCACAACGAAAAATAACAATAACTATTATCGATCTTGACCTTGTGATCATAGATATCTCGCATTGAATATATTCATTCCAAGAATTTCATTCATCGAGACATTAAACCAGATAACTTCTTGATGGGTATTGGCAAACGTGGCAATCAAGTTAACGTAATTGATTTTGGACTTGCAAAGAAATATCGTGACCCAAAGACACATTTGCATATTCCATACAGAGAAAATAAGAATTTGACAGGCACAGCTCGATATGCTAGTATCAATACTCACTTGGGAGTCGGTTCGTATGACAACCATCTTAATGTCGATGATTTTTTGTATTTTTATAATTTTTTAATTATATTTTGATAATTTCTCTATTAAAGAACAATCCCGTCGTGACGATCTGGAATCCCTTGGGTACGTGATGATGTACTTTTGTCGTGGTTCACTTCCATGGCAAGGTCTGAAAGCTGCCACCAAAAAGCAAAAATATGATCGTATCATGGAGAAAAAGATGACCACGCCAACAGAACTCTTGTGCCGCGGATTCCCAAATGAATTCGCTATCTACTTGAATTATACACGTTCACTTCGGTTCGACGATAAGCCGGACTATAGTTACTTAAGAAAATTATTCAGAGATTTGTTTGTTCGTGAAGGATTCCAATATGATTATGTGTTCGACTGGACGATTTTCAAATACGTAAGAAAAATTATTAATAAATTTGGTTTTACTTGTTCTTCAATTTATATCATGTGTCATTAATAAAATTTTTTGGTATCGAATCAGGATAAAGAAGCTAAAGGACAACACGCGCCAATGGCAATCGCCGATGAAACACCAAATGATCAAGGTGAAGATGATCGCAAAGACACCAAACGTGTGCCATCATCTTCTCGACAAGCTAATGCAGGAATTACTACGGATCAATCAGCTCCTTCGATGCGCCGTCCTAACAAGGGACCAATTCATGGTAATCCGCCGATTAGTTCTACACGGCAATCTGCAGCATCACCCACTCAAATCGTATCTGGAGGAAATTCAAGAGTAACATCAGTTCCAAGGCGTAAAATGGCAATTGGTCAAGAGACAAATGCTGTTCCATTAGATAATACTCGAGTGGCAGCGGGTTCCGATCGACTGTAAGTTTCTTTATATTCTCGATCTCGAGCTTGCTCAATTTATGTATCTTTATCTGATCGTAATAATTATTTTAGCCTTCGTAGTCAAACCAAAAATCAGGCGCAACCCGGATATAACGTCAATTCATTCCGAGTCAAAAGAGAAGACCCATCGTCCGGAAGTGGCGGATGGTATTAAAAAAGCAAAAATAAATTGCAGTTAAGCAAAAAATACAAACAACGCACATAGTAATAAATTGTTTTCTTATATGCTATGGACATTTATTTTCAATCACTCGCTCTCTTTCAATTTCCTCCTTTTGTTATATAAATTCTCCTCTTCCTCCCCTCTTTCATAATGGGATATGAAATATATATATAGATTACTCTTTTTTTCTCTTGCATTTACTATTGTAGTGGTGTGTAGTAGAGGTGGTGATAATGATGGAGTTGCTTATATATAATAATCTACACCAGGATTAAAAAAAATATATTCAATAATAATAATAATAGATCAAATTCACACCCCGAGAGAAAGGTGCAGGCAAGAGGGAGGGGTGATACCGCCGACCGATATTGTTGTTAATATCACCGCCTTTTTCTCAATGTATTCTCAAAAACAATCAATCATTGTATGTATGTATCTTTGGGTTTTTCATCATCTTCTATTATGATTAGTACAGCATTAGTAGTTGTGTAATAGTAAGTGGTGGCCGGTAATAGTTGTGGAATCAACAATGAGAAAAAAGGAACATTTCTTCTATCATCAGTTAGTTGTGTGTTCGAAAAATATATCATTTATATATATTATATATATACTCTGTACACAGAAAATATCGTCTACTTCGTGAGTGAATAATCTTTGAAGACGGAAATCAAAGAGGCATTTTTACTAAAAATTACCTCCAAAAAAGCTGGTTTTCTATTTTTATTTATTTGTAAGATATAATAAATATTACACCCAAAGAACTACATTTTTTTTGGCATCTCGATCATTTTGATGTCAATGTGTCACGTGAAGAGCATCTTCATCTTAAAAAAAAGTATTTACTCGAACAATGAGACTCAGAAATCAACCCTATAAAAATGCCAACGAAAGCTTTCGGTAGTTCTCTATTACGACTTCGACCAGCAGGATTCTCCATTTTTCACAATACATCCAAAAACTACCAACAACAGCGGCCTGGGATAAAGAAATCTATACTTGAATCACGTGTAAATTTCGCGTTTGACCAATACAGGCTTTACTCGTCTGGAGGTGTTCTTTCTCGGCAAGACATTGAATCTAGGATTGTGCAGATATTAAAGGATTTTGACAAAGTTGACCCAGAAAAGGTATTCTTTTGATAGCGGGTAGTTGTATTTGGAAGGTTGGGGGCATTAGAGTTTTACTGCTATTAAACGTTGAAGTTGTCAAATTGATTTTCTATCCAAATCAATTATTGATAGTAAATCTGTTGTTAGATAATATAATCTACATATAATGAATTATTTTCTTAAGAATGTATAGCATATTAATATTAATAAAAATATAAACTTCAACGCAATCAATTTATATTCTAATATATATTATTCAGGTAACTCCGAAATCTCGTTTTGCTGAAGAACTTGGATTGGACAGCTTAGATGCAGTGGAGGTTGTTATGGCGATTGAAGAAGAATTCTCTGTAGAGATTCCTGATAAAGAGGCCGATGAAATTCGGTCAATTAATGATGCAATTGAATATATTTCAAAACATCCAGATGCTAGTTGATGGTATTGATGGTACCACATTACTGCGATAGACTATTACAATTATTACTAATATGCATACGAATACACGCAAAATTAATTAAAATTAATTTGTTGATTCATCAATAATTTTTCCGAACTGTTGATTGAGACAATTTAAAGACTTCTTATTTTTCATTAAGTCCTTAAAAAAGATTAAAGAACGAATAATTGTATTATATTATATTGTATTATATTGTTGATGATTGATAAAATATAAATATGCATCATTTGAAACAGACTAACTTTTGCAATATATATTTTATATTTGAAAAAATAGCAAATAAAAATATAATTAAATCTCTATAGTTTATTCTGTTATAATTATATTATAAAAAACATTTTTTTTCAAAAATCAATTATTTTTTTATAATAAAATCATTTTATACTATATTTATTAAAAATTATTTTTTCTTATTCAATAAATTTAATATTTATAAAGGATTCTTTGCTTTACTAGTTCCTATAATATAATTAAAATATATTATTAAATCTAATAATATAACTATAAAAAATATTAAATATAATAATTTTTATTATAATTATATATAAAATCTTGCTAAAAATATGATACTTAAAAACTAAAATTATATAACTTGTTTGTTTCATTTTGAAATTCAAATTTTAAATTGAATTAAAGTTAATTTAATATTTTTTGAAAAAAAAAATGAAAATTTTTTTATATTATTATTATAATTAAATCTTATTATTATAATATTTTATTATTATAATATAATAATAAACTCTCACTATAATAACAAAAACTTTTTTGAATTAAAAACTATTTGTATTTTTAAGAAATAAACAAAATTATTAATTTTATTTCAATTTTTAATTATATATTATAATATTTTTATAAAACTTTTATTTGAATTTATGTTTAATTTGAAATTTGAACTGAACTCAAATTAAAGTTTGACTTGAATTTAAAAAAATTTTAAATAAGAAAGATATAAATGATGAAAATGGATAATTGATAATAATAAACTAATAAGAATACAAGTATAATATGAATATTTAAGTGTGTTTGAATAATAATATGACAATATTAAAACTAAATATATGCTATAAATCAAGGTTAAAAAATATATTAATAGGATAAATGACAATATGATGACAAGTGAAAATAACAAAGGTAAAACAAAAGAAAAAACAAGATACAAACAAACAAAAATAAAGCAAACAAAAAAAACAAACAAAAGTAAAAAAAAAACAAGACAAAAGTTAAAATCAAGATATAATCTTCTTAGTTTATTTCAAGTCAATTTTCATGTTACATATATAGCGAATTTGAGTTATGCTGATTTATATATTATTTATATATATATAGATTACAAAGTAAAATTAATAAAAATAAAGATCTATAACATGTTGGAACACAATAATAATTGTGTAATATTAAAAAGGGATTTGTATAAAATCTATGTGTCGCTAATTAAATTAATATAACAAAAGATAAAAATAAAGTACCAATAAGATTTAAAATATAAATGATGTGATAATAGTATGAATTGATTGGTAAATTAAATGATGATGAAATCTAAACTAAAATAATGTGATAATAATGTAAAATAATTAGATAAGAATATAAATTATTGCTATTGGATAAAAATATAAAAAATATAGAAAAGTAAAAATAAAAGAAAAAGTTTAAATGAATATTACTGTGCTAAAAATATAATGTAATAAAGTTAATGAAAGGTAGAATAATAACAATATAAATAAAAAACATCTACTTAATATAGATATAAATAAAAATCTGTATTCTTAATTTTTATTATATGATACCTAATATAAATTTAATTAATTAATAAAATAATAATGTGAAAAATAATATTTATGAAATTAATTCTTGTTATGTTAAATTATATTATTATGATTATAAATTCTTATAATTTCTATATAAACTTCACAAACTTTATTAATACTATATATTTTATATATATTATATAGTTATAATATTAATGATAAATATATAATTATCTGATAATATAATATTTATTAATAAAAAATATTTAATATAAATAAAGCATAATCAAAGTTTAATTAATCAATACAAAAATCTAGCTAGTTAATAAACTGCTTTTTATATATTGTTTAATAAAATTATATATTAATTGATTTTATAATTAATATTATTATAAACTTATCTTTATTATATACTATTGAATACTTAATCAGATTATTATAGAATATTAGTATTATATTGCTATAAAACTATTCATATATTAAGTAAATACAAAAGAAAAATATTTATTAATAGTAATAATATTCTATTCTATTTTAATAGAATAGCAGAAGCTGCACTGTGCACTAATTCTAACATAACTGGATTGAAATTAGTAAAATAAGAAAATTTCAAGAGATATTAGTTGAATATACATGTTACAAAATTACCTATCTGAGTCTGAAATTCATGTTATTATTTATATATTAAGTAAATACAAAAGAAAGATATTTATTAGTAATAATAATATCCTATTCTATTTTAATAGAATAGAAGAAGTTGCATCACACATTGATTCTAATATAACTGGATCAAAGTTAATAGATTAATTAAAAAATTATAACAAATATTAATTGAACACTTACATCAAGAGAATATCTATTAGAATTCAGAACTCATAATAATGCTAACAAAAATTATAAATGATATTACAAATAAAATTCTATAATTATAAAAGTTTATAAATTCTTAATTCCTTAATTTCTTAATATTTCAAATATTTTTAATATTTCATAAATACCATCTTTATCATATTTATTAAATTTAGCTAAAATAATTTATTTATCATCTATATTATACTTACTATATTTATCATATATATTATCTTTATTATAATTAAATTAAATATAACATTAATTAGTAAAAAATATTTATTATAAATAAAGTGCAATTAAAGCTTTAAAAAAGATATCAATTTGATCATTACAAAAATTTAGCTAATCAAAAATTGTCTATTGTTTATTGTTAATAAAATTTGTATATTGATTAATTTTAAATAATATATAATAATCTTATATTAAATACTTACATTTTATTGCGTATTATCGTTATTAAATAATTACCAAGTTGTTATAGAATATCAGTATTATATTAATATAAAACTATCACATATTAAGTAGATATAATATCTATTAATAATAATAAAAGTGTAAGAATACTTTCTTACGTGAAAAGTATAAGATAAATTTATTAATTGTTGTAAATAAATTATATCAATTGAGACAGTTTTCAGTTTTAATTTTAATAAAGCTT